AAGGGGTTTTCTTTGGGGGACGAGAATAAGAAAACGGGGCATGGAAGTATTTTGGGGGAAGAGATTACCTAACTTCAAAGGGTATAACAGAATTTATTCCCTGTGAAGATTAGCATTGCTAGACTGTATAACATAAATTATACCGTACCTAATTAATATATTTCATTTTTCTCTCTCTCTCTCTCTCTCTCTCTCTTCCTCACACTCTCTCTCTCTCTCTCTCTCTCTCTCTCTCTCTCTCTCTCTCTCTCTCTCTCTCTCTCTCTCTCTCTCTCTCTCTCTCCATCTCCCTCGTTCCTCCCTCGTTCAGTTGTAGCATTTGCAGCCTTTGCCATTGTTCCGTTGCTGAGATAATCTCGGTATTAAAAAAACAGCATTGCTGACTATGTTGTATTTCCGTTACCGTTCTGAATCCTCACCATCCGTGAGACTCATAGTAAAGACAGACAGCCCCAACCAGCCAGCCTCACACTGAGTGAGAACAGTCAGCCTCAGTTGAACGTGCAGTTGTTAAACGTACCATAGAACACCTTTTGATGTCCAGAAAAGGTTGGATAAAGAAACCCTTGATGTCCGGACACGAGTTGCAGCTGCTCCTGTCCTGGCGGTACCACGAGCTGGTGTCCAGCGCCGTTGGCGATCGGCTGTCCCAGCAGCTGCTCCTGTCCTGGCGGTACCACGAGCTGGTGTCCAGTGCCGTTGGCGATCGGCTGTCCCAGCAGCTGCTCCTGTCCTGGTAGCAACATGAGCTGGTGCCCACCGCTGCTGGTGCTCGGCTGTCCCAGCAGCTGCTCCCGTCCAGCCTGCTGGTGTCCACCGCTGCTGGTGCTCGGCTGTCGAAGCAGCTGCTCCTGTCCTGGCGGTACCACGAGCTGGTGTCCAGCGCCGTTGGCGATCGGCTGTCCCAGCAGCTGCTCCTGTCCTGGTAGCAACATGAGCTGGTGCCCACCGCTGCTGGTGCTCGGCTGTCCAAGCAGCTGCTCCTGTCCAGCCTGCTGGTGTCCACCGCTGCTGGTGCTCGGCTGTCCCAGAAGCTGATCCCGTCCAGCCTGCTGGTGTCCACCGCTGCTGGTGCTCGGGTGTCCAAGCAGCTGCTCCTGTCCAGCCTGCTGGTGTCCAGCACCGCTTGTGCTCGGCTGTTCCAGCAGCTGCCGCCGTTCAGGGTATACGGGCTTCGACGGGCCGAGCGGTCCGGCGCCGCCTGAGGCCATTTCCGGCGGTCTGAGTCCTCGCAGTGGTCTCGTCACATCTCTCGTCTCTTCCGTCAGCTCCTGCGCCGTACGGTGCGAAGTGTACCACTGCAGGGTTCTAGAGGACCTCAGACGAAGCCGGGCCTGGATCGCTGCGATGGGATACCCAAGCCGAAGCATGTTGGTTCCCAAGGTGTGCCGGATGCAGTGGTTTGTGTACCTTTTAGAAGTGCCAGCAGAGGCACTTATTGTCGGCATCATGCTGTCGATGGCGTTTTTCCCCTTCGGCGCGTTCACGTACCAGGAGTCACTGTCCGGCTCCTGCAGCATTTGCAGAGCTGTCTTTGGCTTCTGAAGGAAAGCTGGTTGACGCTCATCCAGCTTTGACAAGTAGAGCTTCAGCGTAGTGTACAGAAAGACTCCTGCCTCCGGGTCGTCTGTTAGAGATGTGACTCGTCGGCAGGTAGAGCTTGGACCCGTGTGCTGATAGTTTTTTTTTTCCATGAGGGATTGATCCATCCTTATCTCGGCCCTTCCGAGCGCATCCCTTCCCTCTACAAAACTGTCTTTTTTCAGCTGGTGCCAAATTTCACGGCCACGATAGCCAAACGTCATAGACAGCATGTAGTAAACGTATTGCTGCAGCACTGTGGGGTCTTCGTAAGTCTTTTGGCTGGCGAAATACTGCCTGACGACTTCTTGGTCCGCAGGATCCATAGGCATTTTGGCAGTGCCCTCAGCCCGATTGCCCTCCAAAGCAAATCGTCTTTTAGCGGCTCTGAACTGCTCGTTTGACTTGCGGAAAGTAGGGTGTGTGGCCATATTTGGCATATCTTCCAGCATCTCTGACAGGTGACGCTGTAGCCCAGCTCGCAGAACTTGCAGCGAGCTCGGAGTAAACTGCAAGCCTTCTACTGTGTGGACTTCTCCATAGAACTTGTACAGCGTTTTGTCAAGTGCCGCGAGATCTTGGCCATACGCAGTTATATCGTCCTTGACATATTTGACCTGGCGTCTTCTTTGTGCCCACTTCTTGTATGTTGCCAACGCCCAGTGAGTCGTTTTCCTTGTGTTTTTAGGGATCGATTCTGCTGCTCTATCGTGCAGTTCCTGTGAGGCCAAATTACTATCTTGACTATCTACGGTTTCATCATCACTGTCGTTCATATTGCTAAGGCAAATATGTGCAAATTACAATTACAAAAGCTGACTTAGAAATTGCTTTTGTTTATTTCAATCAGAAATGCGCTAAATATTGTATAATTACATCTACAAACAACAAGGGCGGATCTAGGGGAACGTTTTGGGGGGGGTCACCAGTCGGCCGACATGCCAGGTCTGATGAATGAATTCTGACGACCGGGGGGGGGGGGGGGTAGGGAGCGAGTATGTCGAGATCAAATGACATTTGATCTTCGTCGTTTCTGAGTTGAAGTTTTATCGTAAGTCACTCGGCTCAGTAGTTTTAGTTAGTGAAACCCACCTATAGAGGAGCGTCGCCACGGATTTTTTTACTGGGGGGGGGGGGGCGGATCGACCGACTTAAAAACCCAGAAGTAGTAGATATAGTTACCTCACTTATGCATTAGTCTAATGCCCAATGCATTAGTAGCATACAGTCACGATCTCTCTTATTGACCTGTGTATGAATCGGCGGCGCGAAGCGCCGCAAAATTTGAAAAAAGTTGTCAAAACACAGCTCTAAAACACAAATATTACAACCCTTTTAGCATGCTAGTACAAGCCGGAGTTCCTTCACAGTGCACATATGAATTCCGATTCAATTTGACACGGTTGGTGTTATTACAGTCACGATCTCTCTTATTGATTGGTGTATAAATCGGCGGCGCGAAGCGCCGAGAACATTTGCAAAAGAATGTGTCAAAACACAGCTCCGCTCCAAAACACAAATTTTACCACCCTTTTAGCATGGCAGTACAAGCCGGAGTTTCTTCACAGTACACATATGAATTCTGATTCAATTTGACACGGTTGGTTTATGTAATTACAGTCACGATTTCATATTGACCTGTACGTATGTACATGAATCGGCGGCGCGAAGCGCCGCGAAAAATTTGCAAAAACATTTGTCAAAACACAGAGGGGGTCTCCTCTCTACAGAGGACCACCGATCTCTACTGCGGGCCTCCTCTTTTCACAGGGCCTCTTAACTACAGAAGGCTTCCTCTCTACAGAGGGCTTCCTCTCTACTGAGGGTCTCTCCCTTTCAGAGGGCCTCCTTTACAGAGGACCTCCTCTCTTCAAAGAGCCAGAGGACCTCATCTCTGCAAAGGGCTTCCTCTCTTCAGAGGGCCTCTTCTCTACAGAGAGCCTCCTTTCTTCAGAGGGCCTTCTCTCTACAGCGGGTCTCCTCTCTTCAGAGGGCCTTCTGCATTCAGGCGGTCTCCTTTCCACAGAGGGTCTCCTCTACAGAGGGCCTCCTACCTACTGAGGAGTCAGAGGGGCCGACACAGACACTAGCGGTTATTCACTGGAGGCCCCAGGAAGTAAGAAGGGCCCTAGCTGTCAGGCTGGTCAGAGTGCCCTGAATGTCCTGACGTGATTTTTGGGATTCCAGTGAATTTCTTTCGCCTCCGACGTGATTTTGACCTGCCAGGGCCCAGGGGCACTAAAAATAAAACAAACAAAATAAAAAAATGGAAATAGGACATCACCAAAATTAAGTGGCCGAAATCCGTTGAGTTTTTAATTTTGCGTATAGGTAGGGGCACCACGAATTAAATTCATGACCATCCCCTTGGAGTTTTCCTGGATCATCCCCTGGTGCTCGCACGGTTGAGACAAAAATGAGTAAGATTCTGGCCTTCAATACGCCTTTTCACGCAACACGATCCAGAAAAACAAAGGTATTAGCTCAGAAGTGTTTGACATGTGATTTTGAGCATGCAAGACGGCGTCTATAGCGCATTTAGGTCTTCGGCTTTTGGGGGGGGTCAAATGACCCTCTCAGACCTTTTGGGGGGGGTCATGACCCCGTGGACCCCCCCCAGGATCCGCCACTGACAAACAAGCCTTTAAGTGCCAGCTAAAACTTGCAATGCGAAAAATGCAAGTGATTGGCAATGATCAAGACTATGGGCAATAAAATATGTTTTAGGGCCTTGATAAAAGGTAAACTGTGCAACAATTGAGATAAAATTTCTCGTGAATGGTTCATGTGCTCACAGAATATAGAAAACCTTCATTGGGAAGAAAATCATGGTATAACGGAATTGTTCACATATGGAAATAATTCAGTTATACCCTGCGACTTTTTTAATTATCTACACGTGCAATTGCCAGCACACCGCTGCTTGCAAATTCAAGACTATTATGGAAATTAAACCACGTTCCTTCAACATTACGAAACGGCAAAAATATGTCATAATAGTACAATAACGTGACTTTGGAGGGCGATATGAGTTTTGAACGGCCCGACACCATTATCAGAAGCCCGACATGATGCTGAGCGGCCCGAGCGTAGCGAGGGACGCTAAGTATCATGAAGGGCTTCTGATAATGGTGAAGGGCCGTTCAAAACTCATATCGCCCGACAAAAGTCACGTTATTTGTATTATTGTCACTTATCTAGTTCATAATTAACCATTTTCTCAATAGCTTGCTGTAGTCAAATCTTCTGGAGGTCGGTCAGCAAGTTCGTAGTGCGCGAGAATGTAAAATACTGGTTATTGTTAAGTACGTGACTTTTCGGGAATTTAGGGCGAGCACTCACGACTAGAGTATATAAGGCAGGTCAGAGCGAACGGTGCATCATTTTCGGTTTAGCTTCTGAGGTACTAATAGCTCTGTCTCCTTTGCGCGTGGAAACGCCAGATGGATAGCGAAATAACGGAGCGTGAATTAATAGAGCTGGAAAGAAGTGTTGTACCTGACAACACATCGAAGGCCACTCAGTATGGGATGAAGAAATTTAATGAATGGCTTGCATTGAGAGACCATGCATGCGATTTTGGAACAGTTACTCATGAAGAACTGTGTAGTTTACTAAGAAGGTTCTACGCTGAAGTGAAGGCGAAGAAAGCGGGGGAAACTCTAACGCCCAGTACACTGACCTGCATTCGTGCGGCCATCCATCGCTGCCTGACCAGCGCTCCACATAGCAGACCGATCAACATCATAACCGATAGAGAGTTTATTGCAGCAAACAACATTTTTGACGCTCGCTGCAAACTGTACGTAAAGGCAGGCAACCACAAGCCTCAGCATAAGGCTGCTATCACAGAGGACGATATGAAGCGCTTGGGTGACTACCTCTCGGATTTCGCGTCAAATCCAACCATCCTCCTGCAGGCTACATGGTTCTATCTCTGCTTTTTCTTCGGGAGAAGAGGTCGAGAAGGTTGGGCTCAGATGAGGAAAGATCATTTCGTCATCAGAGAAGACCCAGACGGAAAGGAATATGTCACTATTTCGAAAACTGAAGCAACAAAAAACCATCAGGGTGGAAGCAAGCAGGGAGATGTAGACTTTTCTGATCAGAGGCCTGTTTCACTAAAAACTTGCGATTACAAGTGTTTGAACTTTACAATTCATAAGTATTTTTGCAAACTATGTAAAATCGGGTTTCACTAAACTTCATCACCAGCGGCACCTCCGATAAAAAGAGTTGGTAAATAAACTTGTAAACAATAAAATTGTTTTTAATCAAGAACTTTACCATGTTACAGATATTGCTTCTTTTTATCAAACTATGTCTAGTTTTCATGTCAGAAATTACAGGAATAAATTAAAAATAATGATGCTGTTTCTGAGTGGTATAAATGATAGTTCACAATATCTTATTATTGAATGAAAATAACACGTAAAAAACATTTGACAGCAGAAGACTGTTGAATGCAATTATGGCGCGCGAATGACAAAACATGACGATATTTATTTATTGCTCGTAGCTGGTTCGTAGGGAATGTGCTAAGTGAAAAAGAGCATATAATGACTCAGCATATCATATTTGTTTTAAATAATTGATTGTTTTGCATCATTGCACAAAAAGTATCAAAATTCCGAACGTCAGGACCACTGGAATTTCAGGTTTGTAATTACGATGTTTTCTTTCAAGTTTCTGGTCTTCGTGAAACAGAAAGTTTGCGATTCCCGTGTTTTCTAGCAAACTTTTTCTTGTAAAAAAGTTTGCAAATTTTAAACTCAAAATTCATGCCCGAAGGTTTCGTGAAATCCAAATTTCAAATGTTGGTAATTATTTCTTTTAAACTCAAGTTTTTTCTTTGTAATTACACACTTTATTTGTTAGTGAAACAGGCCTCAGAGGATGTACGGGCCTGGTGTAGAAGTTTTCAAGATGTACCAGCAAAAGATCAATCATAATAGTGATAGGCTGTTCCAAACACCAAAGAGAGCATGGACGCAAGATGAATGTTGGTTCAGAAACGAAGCAATGGGGAAGAACAGCCTGTCAACAATCATGCAGAGGATAGCTGATAGCGCTAAGCTATCACAACGCTATACATGTCATAGCGTTCGTGCCACCACCGTCACGACATTGCATCAAGCTGGAGTGGCAGCTGAAGATATCGTTAAAGTAACAAAACACAAAAGGACCGCAAGCCTTTCACATTACATTGACGACATGTCAGTTCCTCAAAAAAGGCGTTGCTCTGAGATATTGGCACAAACGATGACCAGGCAGTCCGACACAGCCGCAAGTGTAGTCCCAGGGTGCAGCGCCACGGTGATACAGAACGGAGGGCCTGCTACCTCACGACGGTTGTGCGAAGAAAAGCCCAACTTTAATCTGACCATCGGTGGGATGGAAGTGGATGACTGGTTGAACATGAACGAACAGGAACATCGGGTGCCTGACCCATCGGAAGTCCGTCAAAGCCAGCAACTGGTAACGGCGAGAACAGCTCTGTCGTCACTGCTCCCGAATGCAACGTTCAACGGGTCTTGCGTTATCAATGTGAACTTTCACGCGTAAGGATAGGTACGCCGTACGATTACATAGCGAAAACGCATCAAATGTGCAATCGGTCGTGCATCGGTCTATGACAAGTATTGTAAATAAAATATAAATCAAAAACTGTTTGTTCAGAACCGCCTACTTCTTTCAGTTGCAATAACCGCAATTTTCATTAAAATAATTTGTGGTATTCATATGAGAATATATATTTGAACATATTTGAGCTGTCGGGCGCTAATGACCTGTCGGGCGGATAATGACCATTATTGGCCCGACAGCTTTTATTTTGAGGGCAATACAGAGTTTGAGCCGCCCTCCTAAATGACGGTAATCGCCTAGTGATCGGCCCGTGCAAGTGACAATAATGACTATTAGGCATACTTGGTCGAATGTAGGCTAAATAAATGGTTTAAATGCCTTCTTGGAGGTAAGCTATGGTATTTCTGAGCATGATTAATAATGTAAATAGAGTGAATAACCTTATGCTCATGTTATATGTTGCAAATTGATATAATTAAAACTAAATTGATATATTTCGGTATTGCACCGTCATCAGAATAAGAATTCTTATTCAGAATAAGAATTCATCAGAATAAGAATTCTTCTTATTCTGATGACGGTGCAATATCGAAATATATCAATTTAGTTTTAATTATATCAATTTGCAACATATAACATGAGCATAAGGTTATTCACTCTATTTACATGTTTAAATGCCTTGGTTAAATTGTTTCTCGAGTAGTTCAACTCGTAGGTACCTTCAATCGTTAGTTTTGTTGCATTTTAATTTGTTCTGCACCTAGTGTAAACATCCGTTTCAAATCAGTAATGTATGTTGAGTGATGTATAGACAAATAGATATATATTGAGTAGGAAAAACATACAGCACATGGGTGGACGCGTTTCGTCAGAGACTTTTTCAACACCCGAATATCGACAAAACAATACGAACACACAAGAACAAAGCTAGCAAGCACAGTTTCATACCTGTTGATATATCGCGTGTACATATTATGAGAATGTGCCTAAATGCAAATACACTTCCAATACTGCGCGTCAGTTAAATGGCAAAGAAAGAGAGAATACATATATAAGACAATTCATGTTGACAGTATCTGTTTTTCTATTTAACATTTATTTTATAATCTGAGTACAATATACGGCCGCAGATTTTGCCCATTTTATAAACCCAACCCGTGTATTGATCGTTTCGTTCGTTGCAATGTATGCCGCTTCCGTCGCCTTTCTACTCCCCTTGCTTTTGCACTTCGCTATCACTTTCGCCCCTCCCCAATTCGGTAAATGATTCGTTGAGTGAGCATGAAGCACGAATGCACTGTGTTCCATGTCGTTTCTTACATCTCTCCTATGTTCCTTTAATCTTTTGTCCATGCCTCTACCTGTTTCACCTATATATGACTTTTCACAATGCCCACAGGGTACCTGATATACAACGCTAAGATCTACATTCTTACTTATTTTCTTTTGCGTGATCTCTCCTATTTTTCTGCCAGAAGTCAATGCGACTTTGACGCCTGTCGTTTCAAGTTCTTTCGCGATGTTTTCGGCTGCTTTTGAGTTCGGTAATGAAATATATCTTATGTCGTTCTTTCGTTTCGCTTCAGCTTTTGCTCTGTTTCGAATGTTCAACGCTTTTTTCTTGAGACGAATGAGATAGCCTTTGGGATATTTAAGCTTCATGAAACTGGAAAAGATGTGCTCAATTTCTTCAGCAAGATACTCCTCACTACAAATACGAAAAGCCCTTAAGAAAAAGCCCAATACCACCCCACTTTTCACTCTATCACTATGACCGGAAAAGAAATGAACATAATCTTCCCGGTTTGTAGGCTTACGATATACTTTGAATTTTGCACGACTATCGCGTCGGACTACTTCCGTATCTAAGAAAGCAATGGAACCTCCCTTTTCTGTTTCCACAGTAAACTGAATCTTCGGGTCGACTGCGTTGAGTTCGTTGACTTTGGCGTTCAAATCGATCGTTTTTGGTACTACTACCAGCACGTCATCGACGTATCGTACCCACAGAACATTGTCCCCCATAATATTTTGGTACCTGTTTTGTTCCAGCCATTCCAAATACAGGCACGCTGCTACTGGACTCAAGGGTGAACCCATTGCCAGCCCGCTGTGTTGGCTGTAATCATCCGACTCAAATACAAAACCCCCAAATTTCATACACATTGACACAAGCTTAAAGTAGTCAGACTTTGCGAGCGGCAACTGGTTCGCATCGATCTTATCAACTACATCTTTGATCACTTTTAGGGCGTCGTCTACGGGTACATTCGTGAACAGTGATTTTACATCAAGACTAGCCATGTACTTATCTGTGAAGTCGAAGTCTTTAAGTCGTTCAATTAAGTCGTTGCTGTTCCGAAGGTGTGCATCACTGATGGCACCCAGACTATTCGATAAGGGCTTTGCCAGTACTTTTGCGAGTCGATGTGGCGCGCTGCCGATTCCTGACGTAATGGGCCGTAGTGGGATGCCGTCCTTGTGGAGTTTTGGAAGTCCACGCATCTTTGGAGTTTCCGGTGATTCTTCTAAAAGATGCAATAGCTGTTTTCCTTTTTCCGATTTTCGTAGAAGTTTTCTTGCCTCCTGGTTGAATTTCTTACTTGCCTTTTCGACAAATCCGTGTGGTCTTTTCTTGTATGTGTCATTGTCATTCAGCAGCTCTTTCATTTTACTTACATAGTCAGCCTTATCCATAATAACCACTCCCCCACCTTTGTCCGCAGGTGTGATCACTATAGTCGGATCGTTGGCAAGACTTTGGAGTGCCTTCATGTATCGTCTGGGTATCTTGTCTGGTTCATTGTCCGATAAGGCTTTGCAGCACAGCAGTATTCCTTGGATAAATCCCTTTTCTATATCATCCTCATGATTCTTGTAATTTCGCTGGACGTGGTCCATGTAGTTGCTCTTATCTCTTCCGGAGTCGAATTTCATGCCAAGTGCTAATGCTTCTTTCTCATCGTCATTTAGATGTCGTGAAGTAAGATTTGTCAAAATGTCAACAGATGAACCTGAAACGAAAGTTACACACGCTGTGCATGAACAGCCCTTGGGGCGAAGCAGGTAACACGGACATTTTGACAAATCTTTCTTCACGACATCTAAATGACGATGAGAAAGAAGCATTAGCACTTGGCATGAAATTCGACTCCGGAAGAGATAAGAGCAACTACATGGACCACGTCCAGCGAAATTACAAGAATCATGAGGATGATATAGAAAAGGGATTTATCCAAGGAATACTGCTGTGCTGCAAAGCCTTATCGGACAATGAACCAGACAAGATACCCAGACGATACATGAAGGCACTCCAAAGTCTTGCCAACGATCCGACTATAGTGATCACACCTGCGGACAAAGGTGGGGGAGTGGTTATTATGGATAAGGCTGACTATGTAAGTAAAATGAAAGAGCTGCTGAATGACAATGACACATACAAGAAAAGACCACACGGATTTGTCGAAAAGGCAAGTAAGAAATTCAACCAGGAGGCAAGAAAACTTCTACGAAAATCGGAAAAAGGAAAACAGCTATTGCATCTTTTAGAAGAATCACCGGAAACTCCAAAGATGCGTGGACTTCCAAAACTCCACAAGGACGGCATCCCACTACGGCCCATTACGTCAGGAATCGGCAGCGCGCCACATCGACTCGCAAAAGTACTGGCAAAGCCCTTATCGAATAGTCTGGGTGCCATCAGTGATGCACACCTTCGGAACAGCAACGACTTAATTGAACGACTTAAAGACTTCGACTTCACAGATAAGTACATGGCTAGTCTTGATGTAAAATCACTGTTCACGAATGTACCCGTAGACGACGCCCTAAAAGTGATCAAAGATGTAGTTGATAAGATCGATGCGAACCAGTTGCCGCTCGCAAAGTCTGACTACTTTAAGCTTGTGTCAATGTGTATGAAATTTGGGGGTTTTGTATTTGAGTCGGATGATTACAGCCAACACAGCGGGCTGGCAATGGGTTCACCCTTGAGTCCAGTAGCAGCGTGCCTGTATTTGGAATGGCTGGAACAAAACAGGTACCAAAATATTATGGGGGACAATGTTCTGTGGGTACGATACGTCGATGACGTGCTGGTAGTAGTACCAAAAACGATCGATTTGAACGCCAAAGTCAACGAACTCAACGCAGTCGACCCGAAGATTCAGTTTACTGTGGAAACAGAAAAGGGAGGTTCCATTGCTTTCTTAGATACGGAAGTAGTCCGACGCGATAGTCGTGCAAAATTCAAAGTATATCGTAAGCCTACAAACCGGGAAGATTATGTTCATTTCTTTTCCGGTCATAGTGATAGAGTGAAAAGTGGGGTGGTATTGGGCTTTTTCTTAAGGGCTTTTCGTATTTGTAGTGAGGAGTATCTTGCTGAAGAAATTGAGCACATCTTTTCCAGTTTCATGAAGCTTAAATATCCCAAAGGCTATCTCATTCGTCTCAAGAAAAAAGCGTTGAACATTCGAAACAGAGCAAAAGCTGAAGCGAAACGAAAGAACGACATAAGATATATTTCATTACCGAACTCAAAAGCAGCCGAAAACATCGCGAAAGAACTTGAAACGACAGGCGTCAAAGTCGCATTGACTTCTGGCAGAAAAATAGGAGAGATCACGCAAAAGAAAATAAGTAAGAATGTAGATCTTAGCGTTGTATATCAGGTACCCTGTGGGCATTGTGAAAAGTCATATATAGGTGAAACAGGTAGAGGCATGGACAAAAGATTAAAGGAACATAGGAGAGATGTAAGAAACGACATGGAACACAGTGCATTCGTGCTTCATGCTCACTCAACGAATCATTTACCGAATTGGGGAGGGGCGAAAGTGATAGCGAAGTGCAAAAGCAAGGGGAGTAGAAAGGCGACGGAAGCGGCATACATTGCAACGAACGAAACGATCAATACACGGGTTGGGTTTATAAAATGGGCAAAATCTGCGGCCGTATATTGTACTCAGATTATAAAATAAATGTTAAATAGAAAAACAGATACTGTCAACATGAATTGTCTTATATATGTATTCTCTCTTTCTTTG